TTGCCTAAAAAGATTTGCCGTTATCCTGACTTCTGACCTTTATTTTTATTTTTTTATTTATTTTTATCCTCACCCGAGGACATTTTTTTGTTCAGGTAGAGTGGGATGGAGAGAGAGGGAGAGAGAGAGAGAGAGAGAGAGAAACATCGATGTGAAAGGGACACATCGAGTGGCTGCCACCCACACGACCAACCAGGGCTGGGGACAAACTGCAACCAAGGTACATGCCCTTAGCAGGAACCGAACCCGGGTCTCTCAGGACCGCAGGCTGATGCTCTAACCACTGAGCAAAACCGGCCAGGGCCTGACTTCTGACCTTTAATCCCATAGCTTAATTGACATTTTTTGTTCAACTTTATGTTTGTGAGATTCATCCATAATTTTCTGAGAAGTTTTAGATTGTTTATTCTCATTGATGTAACATAACATCCACTGTGTGAACACACCACAATTTATCCAGTTTACTGTTAATTGACATTGGTAGTTTCCACCTAAACATGCTTTACATTTTGAAGAAGTAATGTTGTATGTGTTTATTTGCTTAACTTTTTAGTTAATATGTTTTATTTAAATTGATTTTTTAGAGAGAGAAGAAGGGAGAAAGAGATAGAAACATCAATGTGAGAGAGAAACATCAGTTGGCTGCCTCCTCCATGCCTCACACTGGGTATCGAGCCTGCAACTTGGGCATGTGCCCTGACAGGGAATCGAACCTGGACCTCCCAGTCCATGGGATGATGCTCAGTCCACTGAGCCACACCAGCTGGGATGCCTGACTACTTTTTTAAAAATTGCCTTGATTTCAGTAAGAAATGGGAATATGATGTTATTTCACTACATGGCTGGTAATTTAATCTTTAATGGATACGTATTATTAGATCCTAGCACAGTATTCTTTGTAGTACGTGGCCTATAAATGCTTTAATTTTGACTAGTGAACTGAATAATAAGTAGGAGAATAGACAGTTTTTGGATGCTGAATTAGGGAATTATGAAGGATTCCCTAATTTAGGGATTAGGAAGAATTGGGATGGGTCAGAGACAGGAATAAATGCTAGATATTTTGGTTTGTTTCAGTTTAACAGATGCATTTTGGCACCACAATGAAGTGTGGCATTTAAGTATCTATACAGTGTTTCAAATTGGGTTTTGTGACCCATTAGGGGTCATGAAATCAATTTAGAAAGTTACCTCTAGTATTAAAAAAAGTAAAAAGAGCCCTGGCTGGTTTGACTCAGCGGATAGAGTGTTGGCCTGTGGTCCAGAGAGACCCGGGTTCGGTTCCTTCTAAGGGCATGTACCTCGGTTGCAGTTTGTCCCCGGCCCTGGTTGGGTCATGTGGGTGGCAGCCACTCAATATGTCCCTTTCACGTCGATGTTTCTCTCTCTCTTCCTCTCTCTCCCTCCTGCTCTATCTGAACAAAAAAGTGAAAACGTCCTCGAGTGAGGATAAAAAAAAAATATATATATATATATATAGCTAGCCCTGGCTGGTTTGGCTCGGTGATTAGAGCATCGGCCTGCGGTCCAGAGAGACCCGGGTTTGGTTCCCGCTAAGGGCACGTACTTTGGTTGCACTTTGTCCCAGCCCTGGTTGGGTCATGCGGGTGGCAGCCACTCAATGTGTCCCTTTTACATCGATGTTTCTCTCTCTATCTCTCTTCCTCTCTCTCCCTCCCACTCTATCTGAACAAAAAATGGAAAAAATGTCCTTGGGTGAGGATTAAAAAAAAAAATATATATATATATATATATATTTTCCCCCCAAAGAGATAAACCACAGAACTTATATGCATGTATGCATAACCATGGATATAGACAACAATGCTGGGCATGGGTTGGGGGTGAGGGCAGATGGGAAGGAGGGTGTCAGTGGGGGGGGGGAGAAACATCTGTAACAAAAATAAATTAATAAAAAAAATATTTTCCCCAAAATGTTGTAGTTGATGTGTACTTTGTAGTTAGGCCTATGATAGTTGCAGTGGGTATGTCTGTACTGGGCATGTACAAACTTTCTTTCTTGCCATTATTCCCTAAACAATATAGCATAACAACTATTTATATAATATTTATATTGTATTAGGTATTATAAGTAACCTAGAGATGATTTAAAGTATGCAGGAAGATATGGGTAGGTAATATGCAAATACAACACTATTTAATGTAAGTGACTTGAGCATCTGTGGATTCTGGTTATCTGTGTGGGGGTTCTGGAATCAAACCCCTGTGGGTACCAAGGGAGGACTATATGTGTATGCTGGGTTGTGTTATATGTATCTTATTGTAGTTTGCAGTAAAAACATTGTGAAAGTCATCTTTCTTTATCACAAGCACTGACCTGCAAAACCACTCCACTTATCTAATCAGTCATCAAGTTTGGTTGATTTTACTTTATGTTTCTCAAGGCTATCTTCTTTATATCCTCTGTGTTGCTATGTTAGTCAACTCTCAATATTTCAGAATCATGACATTCGGTCTCACTGCCTCTAGCCTTGCTCCCTTTATTATTTCTTCACATTGTATTTAGAATAATCTGAAATACACAAGTCTTCATATGCCAGTCTCCTTTTTTTTTTTTATCCTCACCTGAGGAGATTTTTCCATTTTTTGTTCAGATAGAGTGGGAAGGGGAGGGAGGAAGAGAGAGAGAGAGAGAGAAATATCAACGAGAAAGGGTCACATCGAGCGGCTGCCACCCGCACAACCAACCAGGGCCGGGGACAAACTGCAAATGAGGTACGCGCCCTTAGCGGGAACCGGACCCGGGTCTCTCTGGACTGCAGACCGATGCTCCAACCACTGAGCCAAACCAGCCAGGGCTCTTTTTAAAAAAAATAGGACTTCGCCCTGGCCGGTTTGGCTCAGCAGTTAGAGCGTCGGCCTGCGGTCCTGAGAGACCCGGGTTCGGTTCCCGCTAAGGGCACGTACCTCGGTTGCAGTTTGTCCCTGGCCCTGGTTGGGTCGTGTGGGTGGCAACCACTCGACGTGTCCCTTTCACGTCGATGTTTCTCTCTCTCTCTCTCTCCCTCCCACACTCTGTCTGAACAAAAAATGGAAGAAATGTCCTCGGGTGAGGATAAAAAAAAAAAAAAAAAAAAAAAAAAAAAAAAAAAAAAAAATAGGACTTCATTTTTCAAAGAAGTTTTAAGTTCACAGAAAGATTGAGCAAAAAATGTACAGAGTTCCCATATACTCCCTGCCCCCTCACATGCACAGCCTCACCCACTATCAGTACCATCAGAGTGGTACCTGTGTTACAGCCGATAAACCTACATTGACACATCATTATCACTCAAAATCCCTAGTTTACATCAGGGTTCACTCTTGGTGTACATTCTGTGAGTTTGGACAAATGAATGATGACATGTATCCATTATAGTATCATACAGAATAGTTTCACTGCCCTAAAAATCCTCTGTACTCTGCCCGGTCTTCCCTGCCTCCCCTCAACCCCTGGCAACCACAGGTCTTTTTACTGTTTTCATAGTTTTGTCTTTTTCAGAATGTCATATAGTTAGAATCATACAGTATGTAGCCTTTTTGGATTAGCTTCTTTACTTAGTAATATGCATTTAAAGTTCCTCCATGTCTTTTTGTAGGTTGATAGCTCATGGTATTTTAGTGCTGAATAATATGCCATTGTCTGAATGTGCTATAGTTTATTTATCCATTCACCTGTTGGTTGCTTCCAAGTTTGGGCAGTTATAAAGCTACTATAAACATCCATGTGCAGGACATAAGTTTTTGAGTGGACATAAGTTTTCAGCTCATTTGGGTAAATACCAAGGAGCACAATTGTTGGATTGTATGGTAAGAGAATGTTTAGTTCTGTAAGAAACTGCCAAACTATTTTCCAAAATAGCTGTATCATTTTGCATCCCACCAGTGATGAATGAGATTTCCTCTTGCTCCACATCCGTGTCAGTTTTGTGTGTTGTCAGTGTTTGGATTTTGGCCATTCTAATAGGTGTGTAGTAGTTTTATTCTAATCTCTTTTTATTTTTATTTTTTTTCAAAAAATTTTTTCTTCATTAATTTTTAGGGAGAGAGGAAGGGAGAGGAAGAGAGAGACAGAAACATCGATGAGAGAGAACATCTATTGGCCACCTCCAGCATGCTCCCCACAGGGGATCGGGCCTGCAACCTGGGCATGGGCATGTGTCCTCACTGGGAATCAGACCAGCGACCTCTTGGTGCATGGGCCGACACTCAACCACCGAGCCACACCAGTTGGACTCCAATCTCTTTTTAAAATAATCTGTTGTCTTTAGGATAAAACCCAGACATCAGAGGAGGGCCTATAACATCCCTTATGAGTTGACTCTAGAGCCAGACTGTTGAAGTTTCAACCCCACTACTATGTGTCCTTGGGCAAGTTACTTAATGTCTCTGTGCTCTGGTTTTTTTTATGGTAAAATGGTGATAATAATAGTATCTATCTCTTAGTGTTGTTGTGAGGATTAAATGAATTATACATGTAAAATGCTTAGTACACTTCGTAACACGGTAAGTTCCCAGTAAATATTAGTAGTTATCATTTGGTCCTAAGTCACATTTCTGTCCCTATCACTTGTCGCTTCCCATCTTGTGCTTTGACCTCTGCAATATGAAAATTGTTTGGAGTGCCTGGATTGAGTCACATTCTCTCACTTCTAGGCCTTTGTTTTAGGATTTCCTTTTCACTCACTTGGCTCTTACCCTTAAAGACTTAATTTAAATGCCAGTTCCTCTGGGAAGCCTTTCTAGTCCTCCCTCTGAGGCTGGGTAGTTGTCTCTCTCAAATCATTCTGTAGTTATTACACTATAGTGTAATTTCCTATTTTTAACTGGAGGGGAAGCTCCCTGAGGATAAAGACTGTATATTATTTATTATCAGAATCCAGGAACATGCTAGGTATTTAATATGTTTTTATTTGAATGAATGAACTTCTGTGATGCTTGAGTTGTGAGAAAATCTAACTAAACTTGTTTCTATTTATTATCTCCTTCTGTATTTCCAGTTCACGAAGCCTGAAACTGAGAATTCAAGAGACTACCCTGACTTGGCAAAAGAGGCAGGTAATATAGAACATTTAATTTATCATGTGATCTGTTTTGATTGTGGAGCAGCCTTACAACTATATAAGGAAGCCTGGTCATGGGAGAAGAACCTATACAAGCAATTGCCTGTGGTTCACTAGAAAGGAGAAAGGGAAAAGAGCTTGGCTAGATAGCCAGAACAGACAGTGGCCAGTGATTTTATGTGCTATCCAGCTGTTTGTTGGGACAACAAAGGCCCCTGTGGGAGAGAAAGTTAGGATCATTAAAGGGGATAATTTGATTCTTGGAGCTATCACAAAATTAGTGTCTTCCTTTCCTAGAAAAGGGATAATCACATTAAAAATGTATTAAATAGCCTTGGCCAGTTTGGCTCAGTGGTTAGAGCATCGGCCTGAGGACCAGAGAGTCCTGGGTTCGGTTCCCACTAAGGACATGTACCTTAGTTGCAGTTTGTCCCCGGCCCCGTTTGGGGTCATGTGGGTGGCAAGCACTTGATGTTTCTCTCACATCGATGTTTCTCTCTCTCTCTTCCCCCCTCTCTCCCTCTTGCTCTATCTGAAGATAAATGCAAAAATGTCCTCGGGTGAAGATAAAAAGAAAAATTTATTAAATACCTGTATGGTGGCTTTCTTCTCTTCACTTGACTGAGCCAGCCCAGAGAATTGTTTTTTCTATCACTAGGCTATTGTGTGACTAAATGGAGTGATGCAGTTTGTTATTGTTTATTCTAGTGAGTATTAAGCAAAGAACTTGGGTGTATACTAGTAAGGTGGAACTCAAAGAGAGAAGGGTCCACAGGTTATGTTTTCTGGGCATTCTTCAGAGGTACGTGCTTGGGCCAGGCTGCCGCTGGCTGAACTATGGATCTGAATTCTATTGTTCTCTCTTAAAAAAAAGGAGGACAAGTACAATAGCTTCTTTGCATGGTGGAAATAAATGTTTTAGACTCAGAACCAAGCAGTCCAAGTTTAGGTGTCAGTTGATGGGGAGTGCTGGAAAATACCACCTTCCCAGCACGGGGAGTCTTAGAGAGCTCTACCTTAGGAAGTTGTTAGGTATAGTCCTCCTCCTGCAAAGTCTCCAGACCTATCCTGTTCCTGCTAGTTTGCTGTAAGGCAAACCAAAAAGAATTACTATAGTTATTCATTAGATACTCCTACTTGTCTCCACTAGTACCTCGTGCTCATATATTTGGATTTTGTTTCAACTCTATTTAACTCAGTATTTAGATATTACTATACATGAAATCAGAACATCTCTGCTCCCCAAAAGGAAGGTTCATGAGATTTAATGAATTGATGTTGACTTTCTGGGTGGACATTGTTCACTTAATATTTATCTTTTATGTTATTAAACATTCTCTCTTTAATTTTTATTTATTTATTTATTTTTATTTTTTATCCTCATCCCAGGACATTTTTCCATTTTTTGTTCAGACAGAGTGGGAGGGAGAGAGAGAGAGAGAAACATCGATGTGAAAGGGACACATCAAGTGGTCGCCATCTTCACGACCCAACCAGGGCCAGGGACAAACTGCAACTGAGGTACATGCCCTTAGCGGGAACCAAAACCCAGATTTCTCTGGACCACAGGCCGACACTCTAACCACTGAGCCAAATCGGCCAGGGCAAGGACAATCTTTTTAATTAAAAAAAAAAATGTTTTATTGATTTTTGAGAGAAGAAGGGAGAGAGAGAGATTGAGAGAGAAACATCGATGTGTGAGAGAGAAACATCAATCGGTTCCCTCCTGAACACGCCCTGACTGGGGGTCGAACCTACAACCGGGGTATGTTCCCTAACTGGGAATTGAACTCGAGACCTTCCAGTACACAGGAAGATGCTCCAACCACACTAGCCAAGGCTAGAATACTTAGCTCTGCTCTTAAAAATAACCCTTGGTTCTAGGTATGTAGGGAAATGGGAAGTACAAAATATGACTCCACTCACCTACCTGACATAGTCTTAGGTGAGATATATGCACCTTCAGACCACATCAGCCACATTTGGTTTAACGTATATTCAAGCACAACTTGGGGGAAAACCCCTAAGATTCTATAAATGATTTTACATTCTGTTCTCTCTGGACTTATTTGTAGACAGGTGATGAGGCAAGGGGATGGGTTTCATGGAATAGTAGATCCAGAAGTCTTACCCTCTAATTCTCTGAACTGGTTTTAGGAGGGAGCTCTTCTGCCATTTTCTTTCCCATCATTTCCTAAATACATAGAATGGAGTGGGGTACAACCAGCCAAACTGTGTCCAGTCACTTCCATTATTTAGAGACATCTGCTCTTTACACATTCCTCTATTCTTCTTTCCCTCAGAGAAAGTTTAGGGACCCCTTTGCATCTAAATACAAATGACACTCATTTGAGTGTTATAGCAACACCGTGTAACTCTTTCAAATAGTTAACACCTGTGCTTTCTTTGTCTTCTCATCCCTTTAAAACATTTTAACTTAACAGTTATTTGAATCTGAATGTATATGCAGAAAACCTGAGGGAAAAATGTTCAACAAATATCAGTGAGTACATCTTGGCACTGGGAAGGATTCACAGTAGGGTGGTTGGTATACAGATCTCAAGGCTGTTACCATTTGGTAGGGAAAATAAGGCAAGTTTACACAGGTGGTGAGCAGCCCATGCTCAATACAACGTGCTGTTGGCATTTAGAGGAGGTACAGAGCACAGGCTAAACCTTATTCCTTTTTTAAAAAAATATGTTTTTATTGATTTTTTAGAGAGGAAGGAAGAGAAAGATAGAAACATCGATGTGAGAGAAACATCGATTGGCTTCCTCCTGCATGCCCTACCACTGGGGATCAAGCCGGCAACCTGGGCATGTGCCCTGACCAGGAATTGAACTAGGACCTCTCAGTCCATGGGATGACGCTCAATCCACTGAGCCATACTGGCCAGGCAAACTTTATACTGTTTTTGTTTTGTTTTGTTTTGTTTTATCCTCACCCGAGGACATTTTTCCATTTTTTGTTCAGGTAGAGTGGGAGGGAGAGAGAGGAACAGAGAGAGAGAGAAACATTGACGTGAAAGGAACAGATCGAGTGGCTGCCACCCGCACGACCGACCAGGGCCGGGGACAAACTGCAACCGAGGTACGTGCCCTTAGCGGGAACCGAACCCAGGTCTCTCTGGACCGCAGGCCGACGCTCTAACCGCTGAGCCAAACCGGCCAGGGCTATACCGTTTTTTGTAACTCATTCTTTCCACTGATTATAAGACCAATGCATGTGTTTTATTGGAACACAGTTACATAAACATGAAAACAAAATTTTGTGACCTATGCCTATTACTATATGGGATCATATACTATGTAGTTTTATATTCTGAATTTAAAAATTTTTTTTCTTTATTGATTTTAGAGAAAGAGGAAGGGAGAGGGAGAGATAGAGACATCAATGAGATAGAACGTCAGTTAGCCGCCTCCCACATGCCCCCCACTGGGGATCAGACCCACAGCCTGGGCTTGTGCCCTGACCAGGAATCGAACTGGCGACCTCTTGGTGCATGGGTTGACACTCAACCACTGAGCCACACCAGCTGGGCTATATTCTGAAATTTAAAAAAAATTATTTTTTCCTTTATTGATTGTAGAGAGAGAGGAAAGGAGAGGGAGAGAGAGAGATAGTAGTGTCGATGAGAGAAAACATCAATTGGCTACCTCCTGCATGCCCCCCACTGGGGATTTGGCTCACAACCTGGGAATGTGCCCTGACCAGGAATCGAACTGGAGACCTCTTGGTGCATGGGTCGATGCTCAACCACTGAGCCACACTGGCTGGGTTGTATTCTGAATTTTTAAACTTATTTTATCATGAGCCTTTTTTCTATTAAAATTGTTTGAAAAAAATTAATTTGTTCATATTTTATTATATATTTATGTGGGGTTTTTTTTACATTTAGGTTTGCAACTTTTTGATATTTTAGAAGAATTATAACATCTTGCTAAATAAATATTTGGTCTTGTCTCTAGTTACTTTTGAGGACAGAGCCTGGAAGTAGATTCATTGGAACAGTGAATATGAACATTTTAAGACTCTTGCCAAATTATTTTTCAGACTGTTTACATTTTTAGTTTCACTAGCAGTTTATGGGAATACCCTTCTTAATATAATCTCATCATCATTATTATATTTATTATAAACATTACATTTTTTGGTTCACATGCTAAGCAGGAAAATATAACTAGTCTGACTAAACCAATCCCATAATCAATTACATATCTTCTTAGTTTAAAAAATTCAAAGTACATTCATATGGTTAAAATACACACACACAGAATAGCTTTTAATTCCCACCCCTGTTCCTCAGGGGGCAATTTCTTTTAACTGTTTTTGCTTTAGTTCTCCTGGTCGATAGCTCCATATCTCTAAAGGTGTTTTTTTATCCTCACCTGAGGACATTTTTGCATTTATCTTTAGACAGGTGGAAAGGAGAGAGGGGGGAGGAGAGAGAAAAAAAACATCGAAGTGAGAGAGACACATCAAGTGGATGCCACCTGCACAACCTCAACCGAGGTCAGGGACAAACAGCAACCAAGGTACGTGCCCTTAGCGGAGGAACCAAACCCGGGACTCTCTGGTCCATGGGCTGACGCTCTAACCGCTGAGCCAAACTGGCCAGGGCCATATCTCTAAATGTTTATTCCACCACACTTATTCCAGTTTTGGTTTATCAGTTTTAGGTGTATGTTTGCTTCTCAATGTGATAGGTGAAGATGTAGTTCATACCTTCTCTCTAACCTCCACTCTCTTCTTCCCAGTTTGTTTATATATATATATTCAGTTCCTCCATTGGTCATTTCTGTAACTTTAAATAGCATCCTTAAAGCTCCATTTCTTGTTCCATAGACAAGATCATCTCTTGATCCTAACTTTGTAAGATGACTACATGAGTGCTCCCATCCCTCTTTACCCCAAATATTGACATTCTATCCAATTTTGCCACAGAGATGAATAAGACAAGGACCCTGCAATTAAGGAGATTTAAGACTCTTGGGATTTAATTTATTTATAGTTAGGTATACAGTTAGGACAGAAAATGTTAAATATAAAAAAGGAGGTGTGAAAAAGTGATGTAGTAGCTTAGAGGAAGAAATGATTACTTCTGAAAGGAGAGCTCTGAGACGATTTGTCATTTGAATTGAACACAGGCTACGTAGAGGTAGATTTACTACTCCGGGAAAACTCTCAACTTAGTTTTTACTCACCTAAAGCAAATACTGAAAACACTGTTTAATAAAACCCTTTTGTTTTTATAGGGCAGAAGGCTTTGGCTGATGCACAGATTCCTTATTCAGCAGTGGAACAGGCCTGTGTTGGCTATGTTTATGGTATGTGGTAAACTATATATTCTAAAAATTATTTACCTAAATCTAGCAGCAATCATATAAACAATGCAGGGGCATTTGTGAATTTTAACTTTCAGAACTCAGAATTCAGAGTTTTACCCATCATTTGTAGATTTCTCTTATGTCAGCTTAATATAACATATATTTTTTGCCAATATTATATTGTCATAACAGGAGATAAATTAAAAAACAAATTTTCGCCCTGGCCAGTTTTGCTCAGTGGTTAGAGCATTGGCCTGCAGTCCAGAGAGACCCAGGTTCAGTTCCCACTAAGGGCACATATCTCAGTTGCAGTTTTTCCCAGGCCCTGGTTGGGTTGTGTGGATGACAACCACTCGATGTGTCCCTTTCATGTTGATGTTTCTCTTTCTCACTCTCTCCCTCCCACTCTATCTGAACAAAAAATGGAAAAATGTCCTCGGGTGAGGATAAAAACAAAACAAAAATGAATTGTCTTTGCAAATGAAAATAATTACCCATAGTTCTGCCATATAAAGATAATTACTGTTCAGAAGATAAAATTTTGTTTCTTGTTGTCTTAAAATTTGCATTTATTGATTTTTTTTTTTTATCCTCACCCGAGGACATTTTTCCAGTTTTTGTTCAGATAGAGTAGGAGGGAGAGAGAGGAAGAGAGAGAGAGAGAAACATCAACGTGAAAGGGACATATTGAGTGGCTGCCACCCACACAACCCAACCAGGGCCGGGGACAAACTGCAACTGAGGTACATGCCCTTAGCAGGAACCAAACCTGGGTCTCTCAGGACCGCAGGCCAATGCTCTAACCGCTGAGCCAAACCGGTCAGGGCTGATTTTTTTTTTCTTCTTCAAATCTTTATTTTTGGATGTAAAATGTATTACAGATGTTCCACATTTTTCCCCCATTGACCCCCTCCTCCCCACTCCCGCCCCCCTCCCACCTTTTCCCACACTATTGTCTGTGTCCATTGGTTATGCATATAAGTTCTTTGGTTTATTTCTTCCCACCCCCCCAACCCCTTTCCCTTTGAGGTTTGTCAGTCTAGCAATGAATTTGTGCTTCTTAATCCCTTCACCTTTTTCACCCATTCCCCCAACCCCCTTCCCAACTGGCAACCAACAAAATGTTCTCTGTATCTATGAGAATGTTTCTGTTCTTCCTGTTCATTTTGTTTGTAGATTCCATTGTTGATAGATATGTATTCATTGCCATTTTGTTTGTTCATACATTTTATCTTTTTCTTCAAAAAGACCCTTCATCATTTCATATAATAACGGTTTGGTAGTGATGAACTCCTTTAACTTTTTCTTGTCTGGGAAAGTTTTTATATGTCCATCAATTCTAAATGACAGCTTTGCAGGATAGAGTAATTTTGGTTGTAGGTTCTTGGTTTTCATCACTCTGAATATTTCTTGCCACTCCCTTCTGGCCTGCAAAGTTTCCTTTGAGAAATCAGCTGATAGCCTAATGGGTACTCCCTTGTAGGTAACTAGCTGCCTTTCTCTTGCTGCTTTTAATATTCTCTCTTTGTCTTGAACCTTTTGCATTTTGATGATGATGTGTCTTGGTGTGTGCCTCTCGGGGTTCATCTTGTTTGGGACTCTCTGTGCTTCCTGGACTTGTATGTCTGTTTCCTTCACCAAGTTAGGAAAGTTTTCTGCCATTATTGTTTCAAACAGGTTTTCGATTTCTTGTTCTCTCTCTTCTCCTTCGGGCACCCCCAAGATGCGAATATTGGCACGCTTGAAGTTGTCCCAGAGGCTCCTTACACTATCCTCATTTTTTTGGATTCTTTTTTCTTTTTGCTGTTCTGATTGGGGATTTTTTGCTTCCTTATATTCCAAATCGATGGTTTGCTCCTTGCATTTACATACTCTATTATTGAAGCTGTGTAAATTATTCTTTATTTCAGTTAATGCCTCCTTTAATTCTAACTGTGTATCCATGATTTCTAACTTGTCCTTTTTTATGCTCTTGAGGCCCTCCCTAAGTTCACTGAGGTTCTCACTAAGTTCATTGAGCATCCTTATAAGCAGTATTTTGAACTCAGTATCTGTTAGGTTGCTTATCTCCCTTTCGCTTAGTTCTTTTATTGGGGTTTTGTTCTGTTCTTTCATTTGGGACCTGTTTCTTTGTATCCTCATTTTGGCTGCCTCCCTGTGTTTGTTTCTGTGTATTACTTAATGAGAGGTATGGGGCTCGCTGAGACCCGATGCTGCTTGTTTGAAAGAATTTAGGAAAAACCTGAAGCAGGATCCAAGACCGGCCAATCCTATGGTTAAGCAACTGGCAACAGCTTGGGTGGGTTTGAAAGTTGTGTGGGGCGGGGCCTCAGGGAGTCAGCGGGGCGGGGCTACCAGTGTGAGCCAGGTTGCTGGAGTCCCAGATATGGCTTCTGTCTGCCGCCCCCGGGAAGGGCTCACCAAAGGAACAAAGGCCTCTGACGGCATGTTTGTCCAGGAGAAAGCCCCTCTCCAGCCCTCGCTCCAGTGCCAAACAGCTCAGTTCTTCCCTGTATGTCTCTGGCGCCCCTCGAGCTGCCTCCCCTCCAAGCTTAGAGGGGGAGAGTCCGATAAGTCCGTGCGCGGGCCCTTTAGGGAGCTGCCTGGGGCTCCAGCCGCTTCAGCTTCCCTGAGCCTCAGTTCCCGCTGGTTTTTCCAGCCAGAAGTTATGGGGACTTCTCTTCCTGGCACTGGAACCCTGAACGGGGCACCTGGTGTGGGACGGGGACCCCTCAGTCCTCAGGAAGGACCTTCCCAGCCGCGGGAGCCTCCTGATTTTTATCCACCACGCTTGGGTGTGGGACCAGCCCGTCTCGCCGCTGCCCCTCCTACCAGTCTGGATGTAGCTGTTTTTTTTTTTCTTAGTTCCGTAGTTGTATGACTTCCATTCAGCTTGATTTCAGGCGGTTTTGAATGATGGTTGTTCTTTAGTTTAGTTGTAACTTTGATGTGGTTGTGGGAGGACGCGATACCGCGTTTACCTACGCCGACATCTTGACCGGAAGTCTCAGGGCTGATTTTTTTAATTTAATATAATTTCCTCATTAAACTTTTTCTGACTAAAAAATAATATATACGAATTATAGGGAAAAAAAGGAAACACAAATAAGCACAAGAAGAAATAAGTCAACTATCAAAGTGACATCAGAAGTGTGGTAGCTTGAGAGATCCCCTAGTCTCTCCCCTTGAAAGTACAAGTTGAACAGCTATAATTCAACACATAAACATGCCTGAGAGATCCATGCCTTGAAGCATCAGAATGTGGGCGGCTCAGAGTGAGCAGGGGAGGAGAGCGGGGGAAGAACAGAGGCAGGTGCCAGGGATGCAGTCTGGAGTTCACTGTGGGTCTTGGGAAAGGAGAAGAATCAGGTTGCAGCGTCCACTTTCTGCAGCCCTGAAGAAAAGAGAGGTAGAATCAACATTCCTGCTTGAGTGGTCAGCACGTGCTGTAGCTGAACCCAGTGCCTGGAGCAGAGAAGAAACACAGAGATGTGGCAGTCGTGATCTAGCAGATGTCATTGCCAGATAGGAAACAAAGCCATGGAGCCTGACTGCCTCCTCCTTCTCTCCTAAAGTTAGCTGCGGGCCCCAGAAGAAGCTGTGGCAGCTAGTATTGGGTTGCAGAGCACACTATCTGCAACCCTGAGAACTGGAGAGACAGAGGTATTCCTCCCTGAGCAGCGGGCAGAGGCTGCAGCTGGTCCCAGTGATAGGAGGTAGGGGAAAAATGGAAGGGATGGGAGGATGGTGGTGGTGGAGATAAACAGGGGTGACAACTGAAATCTGGCAGTTGCTATTGCTGGGAAAACAAAGCCACAGCTGCACAAACTGACCTTTGCCAATCCATCCCTGTCCACCTCCCACACCCTTTGCAGTTGAGTTCATTGGGGGTACCTGGGACACCTCAGTAGTGCAGGCAGCATCTAGTTGCAGGGGACAGCGCTGGGATTTCACAGGCTCAGAACCGGTACATTTCTCCACAGGGATGGTGTTCTGAGACTGAGGTGACCTGGTCACAGAGAAGATGCCCACCTCTCCAGGGAATACAGGGTATTTTCCACCAGGCCCGCAGAGGATTAGAGAAGTCAGAGCAGTAGAAGAGAAAATAAAAACAAATAAGCAAGCAAACAACAAAACAATCCTGTGCTTTAGTGCCACCTACTGGAAAACAAAAGGAAGACATCTTATCAACCTGCTAAATAGAAAAGTTTTACTTTGTTTAAAAAAAGCAGGTAAGCAGGTTTCATTCCCATAAATTCCTATGCAGAGGAATAATCCATCAAATACCATGAACAACTGAGGTAACAAAGCAGCTCAAAAAGAAAATTAGCCTGGTTGGTATGGCTTAGTGGATTGAGTGTCATCCCGTAGACTGAGAGGTCCCAGTTTGATTCCAGGTCAGGGCACATGCCCGGGTTGAGAGCTGGATCCCCAATAGGGAGCATGTGCAGGAGGCAGCCGATCGATGTTTCTCACATTGATGTTTCTATCTCTCCCTTGCTCTCTCTAAAAAATCAATAAAAACATATTTTTTAAAAAAGTAAAGAGCTCTGGCTGGTTTGCTCAGTGGTTAGAGCATTGGCCCATGGACCATAGAGTTGTGGGTTCAATTCAGGTTAACAGCATGTACCTCAGTTGCAGTTTAGTCCCCAGCCCTGGTCAGGGTCGTGCGGGTGGCAACCAATTGATGTGTCTCTCTGACATCGATTTCTCTCCCCCGCACCCCTCTCTCTCTCTCCTGCCCTCCCTTTCTTTTACTTTATCTGAAGATAAATGGAAAAATATCCTTGTGTGAGGATTTAAAAAAAAAAAAAAAGAACAAATCTCCAGAAAATAAACTTAAAGACATGAAAATATGTGATTTAAATGACAGAGAATTCAAGATAGCATTTCTGAAAAAAGTGAATGACATACAAGAAAACTCAGATAGGCAGTTTATTATATTCAGAAATAAAATTAATGAATAATGGAGTACTTTACCAAAGATACTGAAACTAAAA